CTTGGATGAGTCGATCATGAAGGGCACACGGCTGATCTCAGGGTCTGGGGTAGGGTCCAGGGAGGTGGGTGAGGAGGTGAGGCAGAGGGTCAATAGGTGAGGACAGAGCGTCCAGGCAAGGTGGCAGGGCTGGGCAGACAGGGAGTGCGAATATCGGTTGATGATAGAAAGGCATGACGGGGGGAGGATTGGAGCAAGTGGGGCAAGGAGGGTGGGAGCGAGGTCAAGAAAGTGAGGAGCAGATGATGGATTGTGTGCAAACACTCGCATGTTGCAGGTGACAAATTAGGGGCCCAGTGAGCGCACCCTGCAGTCCCACACTTGACAGCCCCCATTCGTTCTGTAGTCCGCCCAGCAGCGCCCACCTGAGATGCAGAGGTTGACGAACTTGGTCATGGCGGGCACGCCCTCGATCAGGCCGTCGTCCATGTTGATGTCCAGCACGTCAGCACCCTGCTGGACCTGCGCGGGGGTGTCAGTTTAGAGCGGACGCATTGACGCAAGGTGAGGTGAGGGAGCAAGTGACCACATAAGGCCAGAAGATGGTGGTCGTGTGGCACAATACTTAGGCTAGGTCAAGGGTGGTACAAAAGACCAGCAATCAAAATGCAGCATAAGTCGAAAGAGGTGCTTCTGCACCTCACATGCCTGGCAACTATCCTTGTGGCAGAGCAGCAGGCAGCTGTGCCTGCTGTTGACCTCTGCAACAGGCCATAAACGCAGCACAGGGTGCATCTCAATCTCATCTGCACGCCTCGAAGCCACCAACCCTAGAGCCACCGCACCTGCTTCAAGGCAATGCCCAGAGCCGTGTCGAAATCCCCATCAATGATGGCCTTCTTGAAGGCGATGGAGCCCGCCACGTTGCAGCGCTCCCCAATCTTGATGAACGTGCGCCGCATGTTGGACGCGTCCGGCGTGTAGTTGAACGGCTCCAGACCGCTGATGCGCAGCAGCGGCTCAACAGGGTGCGTCGCCCGCGGCGGGAAGGTAGACGCCACAGCCCGGATGGCGGCAATGTGCTCGGGCGTGGTGCCGCAGCAGCCGCCCACGGCGTTGACCAGGCCCTCCTCAAAGAAGGGCCGCACCTCCTCCGCCATCTCCACACCCTTCTGGTCGTAGCCGCCCATGGCGTTGGGCAGCCCGGCGTTGGGGTAGCAGAACACAAAGCAGTCGGCGCAGGCGCTGAGGTTGGCGATGTACTGCTTCATGTCGGAGGCGCCCAGGGCGCAGTTGAGGCCGATGGCCATGGGCTTGGCGTGGCTGACGCTGTTCCAGAACGCCTGGAGAGGGTTAAGGGTGCGCAGAGCACGAGTGCGGTTAGCAGCAGACCGTCAGTGGTGAAGCGGTGCTGCGCTGGGCACCCGAGGCCGCAAACTCATCAGCTGTGCACCGAGGGCATGGGTCGGCCAAGCACAGAACAGACCACAGCCCAGTGAGCAGAGCAAAGCACAGGTAATCGTGCTCAGTGTGCGCTCAGCAGCAGCCAATACTGGTCAAACTGTGGTCAAACCCGTGGCGCAACAGCCCCTTGCTGCAAAGTC